AAAGAAAGTTGCCAAAACTCCTCACGAGATGTGGACTGGTAAAGTACCTAAACTAGACCACATCAAGATTTGTGGTTGCGAGGATTTCGTGAGACGCGAGACTCATGATAAGCTCGAACCTCAAAGCGAGAGGTGTATTTTCATCGGCTACCCACAACAATCCTTTGGTTACCTCTTCTACAGACCTAGTGACAATGTGGTCTGTGTAGCAAGAAGAGGAGTCTTTCGAGAAAGAGAGTTTATAAGCCAAGAAGACAGTGGGAGGCAAATTGATCTTGAAGAAATTCAAGAGTCAAGTGGTAAAGGAACTTCAAACTCTAGCCCTCAACTTGAGGAGGAAACTCCTGTTGAGCTAATTAACGAATCTGTACCTCTGAGACGTTCCACGAGAGTTAGGAGTGCACCTGAGCATTACTATGGATTCCATATTTCTGCAGAAGGTGAGACACTTATTAGTGATGGGACACTAGTAAGTCAAGATGACCCTAACAGCTACGAGGAAGCCATGTTAGGCCCCGAGTCTGCTAAATGAAAAGAGGCTATGGATAGCGAGATACAATCCATGTATGACAATCAAGTTTGGAACTTGGTTGAAAATGTACCAGGTCGTAAGACGGTTGGGTGCAAATGGGTCTTCAAGAAGAAGACCAACATGGATGGTAAAGTACACACTTATAAGGCTAGACTGGTTGCAAAGGGCTTCTCTCAAATTCCTGGAGTGGATTATGATGAGACCTTTTCTCCGGTAGCCAAGATTAAGTCTATTCGGGTTCTGTTAGCCATAGCCGCATTTCATGACTATGAAATTTGGCAAATGGATGTCAAAACCGCTTTCCTTAATGGAAAGTTGGCTGAAGATGTTTACATGAGTCAGCCAGAGGGTTTTGTCAGCAACGAGTACCCTAATAGAGTGTGTAAGCTTGAGAAATCCATTTATGGATTAAAGCAAGCACCTCGCAGATGGAATCTTTGCTTTGATGAAAAGGTCAAGGAATTTGGCTTTTCTAGGAGTGAAGATGAATCTTGTGTGTATGTCAAGGCTAGTGGGAGTATAGTTAGCTTTTTGGTATTGTATGTGGATGACATACTACTCATAGGAAACGACATTCCAGCCCTGCAGGAAGTAAAATCATGGCTTGGGAAGTGTTTCGCTATGAAGGACCTTGGTGAAGCTGCCTATATTTTAGGGATAAGGATCTTGAGAGATCGGAGTAAAAGACTAATCAGATTTAGTCAGAGTACCTACTTGGATAAGGTGCTGAAAAGATTCAGCATGCAGGACTCCAAGAAAGGAGAGTTACCCATCCAGAGTAACGCCAAATTGAGTAAGACACAAAGCCCTAGCACTGAGGCTGAGATAGCAGAAATGAGTCGAATACCTTATGCTTCGGCTATAGGATCGATCATGTATGCTATGACGTGTACTCGACCTGATGTAGCCTTTGCCCTGAGCATGGTTAGCAGGTTTCAGGGGAACCCTGGCAAGGCACACTAGACTGCGGTAAAGAATATTCTCAAGTACCTACGAAGGACTAAGGACTGGGTCCTTACCCTCGGTGGGAGTGATGACTTAGAGTTGTAGGGTATAGTGATGCTAGCTTCCAGACTGATAGGGATAATTTCCGCTCTCAGTCAGGCTGGGTCTTTACCCTAAATGGAGGAGCAATTTCTTGGAAGAGTTCCAAGCAAGAGACAGTGGCAGATTCTACTTGTGAATCAGAGTATATTGCAGCGAGCGAGGCGGCAAAGGAGGCTATATGGCTAAAGAACTTCATCGGAGACCTTGGAGTTGTACCAGCTATTAAAGAGCCAATGGAAATTTTCTGTGATAGTGAAAGCGCTGTTGCCTTAGCCAAGGAACCAAGGGATCACGGGATATCCAGACACATCGACAGAAAATACCATTTTATTAGACATCGAATAGAAGAAGGACTCCTCGTGGCAAAGAGGGTATCATCGGATGAGAACCCGGCAATCCCCTCACGAAGGGACTGACTCGGGTTAAGCATCTCCAGCATGCTCGGAGCATAGGGCTGAAGGATGATATTAGATTTAGTAGTTAGATAACTCGAAATTTGTAAAGTGTAATTGACATTAGATGATGAATAAAAGGTGTTTTATTTATGAGTAAAGTGTTGCTATCTCTTGTCAATCGTTTACTATATTTCTTTTGCATGTTTTGACTTCCAGAATAATTTTGTTTGGTATAACATATTATTCAAACCTCCACAGTCGGTCATATGTCGGAAGTAGGTATGAATCAAGACTGTCATGATTGGTTGCAGAGGTCTAAGGTGTTAGACAAGGCTACAACAATCATGAGTGCTCATAAGTTCTGAGCATTGGACTCAACCCACGCTCACTGGAATCACTTCATGGAATTCTATCTCGAGTGATCGTGAGACGGTAATATCATATAAGTCTTCAAACCTAGAGATATGATTTGTTACTTACAAGTTGGTTATGCATTGATTGTACGAAAACACATTGGTAACTCGATGTTATAAATCGTGCTCTTGTGTGTAATTCAATGAGTGGTAGAACAAACATATGAGTCGAAGTTTATCTGTTCCTTCTTGGATTAGAAGCTGATATCTGGGCCCCTCGATGATTTTGTTTTGACCCATGTACCGGGCCCGGTCAGAACTAAGTTGATGTGTTCAATTAAGTTCTTTGTCAAACAAATCGGAAATCGGGAAACAAACTGTTGGACAATAAGTAAGACATTGTTCCATGTATTTGTCCGACTGATATCTAGAACAGAGGATTATATGATCACTTATCTTAAATGGCGTACCATCATCTTCTCAGTTCCGAGAAACCTTGAAAAGAGCTACGATTGCCGACCGGTTCCTGAAGTCATACTTACAGTAATAGTTATTAGACTTATCCAAGTAGGAGACTGTTGGATAGGTGTCTAAGTCCATAACTATTTCTGGTATGTACTTGACCCGACCCGGCATGGTCCATTTGGGTTGCATGGCACCATGCAATTGGATAGATTAAATGAGACAAATAACACTTGGAGATTATTAATATATTATAAGTTCTAATATATTAATAATATTATTTGATTAGTTTGATCAAGAATTAATTTAGAATTAATTAAGTGATCAAAAGATAACTAATTAAATATATGAGTTGATTATGTAAATCATCCATATCTTGTATAGTGGACTAAGAGGCTCCATGGATTATTAAGTTGGGTTCCACCCATAGGATGCTCCATGGATGCTCCATGGGAGTTACAAACCATGGGTCATGGAAATGAAAAGTCATGACACATTAGGGTTTACATGGTGTAACCCTAGATGTGTCAACACTATATAAGAATCATATTCTCCACCAAAATCGGCTACACTAAGGAAACAAGAGGGCTTGCCGATTTCAAGAAGTGTGCATTCTCTCAAAAGTCTTTCCAAGAGCATTTGGTGTTGTGTGAAGCATTTGAGGCATCACACTTGGGGTGCTAGGCTCATAAGGTTTCAAGGAACACAAGCAACAACAAGGTAAGTTATTCTATCTATCATTCAAGTTAAAATTCTTCCCAATGTATGCTAGATAGGAATATAGCCTTGGAATTCAACTTTGCATGATAATTAGACAAACATAGATCCAAGGTTATTAGGGTTGCATGTACACTTAGGAAGTGTTAGAATGCTCAAAACCCATCATAACCACCGTTTCAAAGTTCACAAAACCTAACTTGCCGGCACAGTGGAATAGGCTCTTTACCTTATTATTCAAGGATTTCTCTGAACGGGTAACGGGATCAAATTGTTCCAGTAAGATTTTTATGGCAATCATTTATGGGATTTACACAAGGCTCAACATTGATTTTGGTGCTATTCTCTAGGCACAAGTTATTCAAAGCACACATTCTGCTACTCGTCACAGGGAAACTTCATGTGCATGTTTCTGGACTATCATTGTTCAAAGGGCAATAGAAAAGCTTTAAATCCGATTATGCAAGATTTGTTAATGGATACTATTTCAACCTTTCACACTACTGCCATTATTCATGCAGAAAACTCTAAGTTCACATTTTTTGGCTGCATTCCTGAATCCATGCTTCGTGATGTGCCAACTGCTAGCAAGATTCTCGAAGGCTATCGGAAAACTCCTGCTTTAGGTTTTCGTCCCTTAACATCTGAGATGTAATCGATCATTGCTGAAGCCGAAAAACCAAAGAAAGGGGGGTTAGAAAAGATGTAAGAAATGAGAAAAGAAACAAAGTGCTAAAGAGAGTCCATCTGAACCTGCTATAACCCCCAAGAAACGAAAGACACAAGATGGCTCATCTGAAGTAGCTCCTATTTTAACAAAGAAGAAAAAGATAAAGAAGATAGCTTACAGGCCTAGATCTCCAACTCCAAGTGACAATGAAGGTTCGCAGTCTGACTCAGACTTTCGCATTGAAGGGGATGTGCAACTCTAAAACAAAGACATTGTAACAACTTCACACTATGAGGTTTCGCAGCCAATTTCTTCGAATCCTGAGGTAAACGTTGAGATTCCTGTCTCAGTTCTAGTTTCTACTGATTTCTTGAGAATGTCTTTATTCCCTCTCCCACTACCACGGTTTCCACACCCATCACTACTACTCCATTCCCACCTGTTACTTTGGGTGTTTCGCAAACCCCACCCATTTTTCCAAATTCCACTACGACACCAACAACATCTGTTGAGCCTCGTGTTTCTATCAACGCATCCGATGCGGGGGCAGGAGCTTCAGGTTTCGCAACTGGTCATATCACACCACCCATTTCCCTTCTTCTCCAAAATGACCCCGATATGATTTACGGTGATGATGTATCAACTTCTCATGATTCACCTATAGTCCATTCAATATCAAGACTAGAAGTGATGTCGAAGCTCCCATCACGAGAGGGAAACTCAAGGAAATACATGAAAAACTGGACTCACTGCTTCATGCTTTAAAGGCATCATCTACTGATGATTATTCTCAAGCAACGGTCAAGTCTCTTCTTGAGAACCTTATGAAAGACCACTCTACGAACCTTGAAAAGATGAACAATGCGGTAGATGCTTCTACCACTGTTTGTAGCAACTCGACAGAAAAAATCGATAAACTAATTACTGATGCAATGGTATTCATGGAGAAATTCCAGAGCTTCTTTGAGTCCAACACTACGAAGGTTAACGAAGTCATTTCTAGCCTGGGCTCCACCCTTAAAACTGAGAAGGCGAAACTTCAGGAGGTTTGCACTGGGCTTACAACTAACCATGCTCAGTTCAATACCTCCATCTCCTCCCAAATATCTAAGCTTCATGATGATCTCAAAATGGAGAGCACAATAAGGGATACTTTTGCTGTCAAGACTGAAAATGTGAATGTCCTTAAAGTCAAACTTGAGAATGCTGAGAAACAAGTCAATGATTTGTTATCCGAAAAAGAAACTATGAAAAGCTATATCGCAGACGTTACTAGCGTGCTTTTGGATATCGTTGAGACTCAACACTCAATGATTACGATTACGGTGAAAAAACATCTAGCTAAGAAACTTAGGCCCGTCTTCACCATGCTTCATCGACCGGAAGGTGTTCGGGGATCTAACTCCATTCCAAAACAAATGGGAGAAGGTATGTCATAATCCAATAAGGAAGACCCCAAACCTTCAGCCAAACACACTGTCAAAAGTGAATCTGATCCTAAAGACAAAGAAAAACTTTTTAGTGAAGAACGTATTGTTGACAACTGCAAAGACGAAGAGCCTGGTCAAAAACGAGCTCAAAAGGAGAAAAGCACGTGAAGCAGAAATGGATGAGCACCAAATAATAATCCACGAGGCTGAAGCGAACGAGAACATTGAAAGAGAAGCTCAAGTCACACTTGAAAGCTGAAAGCTTTTATTTCTAGAGGGGACTGTGAAGCGAATTCCTAACGAAGCCGTGGATTTGCTGAGTCAACATTGGTTGGAACTAGTTGTGCCATTACAGCTTCAGAATACACAAGATTCTCAACTGGATCTCTGAATAAATCCAAAAGCCTTCAAGTTTCTCTCTTTTGTAAATGTAGTGAATGTCTCATCCACTGATAGCGGCGTTGACCATTTTTTCTTCTTATTTTATCTCAATCATATGAAGCCAGAATACAAAACGTGGATTGCTACCAAAATTACTGCATTGAAGGTCACAGGTCGAACTGAAACTGACAGGTTCCCAAATGAGAAGTTCTTGCTTGTGAGAGGTTTTGCTAACTGTAATTTCAAAAGTTTTTGAAGTGAAGAAGAGAACTCGGCCTTGATGGACTCTCACCTTAATTGACACAAATAGGGAGATTGTTGTGGATATAGTGTTGCGTCATTGCGCCGTTCATTTTGTCCATTTTGTTGTCAGGTTGGGTCTGTCCAACCGTAATTTATTTCTGGGGTTATAGTATTTAAGGTGCATGCAGGCATCATGGTCGTAAGTTCGGTAATATTCTTGTAACCCTAAGCGCGCTTTTACAATAGCAATTCTTCGTCGAGTTCTTATGAGGCTGTGGGTTATAATCATTAAGCATATTTTTTGATCCTATGTCGTGTTCTTGTTTTTCATCTGTTTTGAATCTAATTGATCTTTCAAGGTTTAATATCTTAATGATATTTTAATACAAAATCTTTATAAAATATACAACTTTATACAACCCAATTTTTTGTTTTAACACATAAAATTCACACCATAACATAATAAAATCTATTATACATCAATTCATATAATTAAAGAAGTTAAACTGAAACTCTACCACCACTACCAACTACCGCACAACACCACGAACCACCTATGTACTGTCGTTATCATCATTCATTCCAAATCAAATCTGTATATAAAATCATTGATTTGATAGCTTAAATGTTATATTCACAGTTTAATAAACCAATTAAATTACTTATTCAGAGTTTACTATAAATAATTATAAAAATTAATACATTCTGAGATATTCATACAACACAAAAACTAAACATATTCACATCAAAATTAATACAAACATTCATACATAGATCATTTATATTTTAACATAAAATTCATTAAAAATTAATATCTTAATACAGTCAATTCACAATTCAGTATAAAAAATTCACAGTTTAGTATAATAAATTCACAATTTAATGAACAAAAATTATACATTCATGACCATATTCTCAACTTAATACTTACATATATACCTTTAGATTTACATGTTAGTGCTTCTTTAAAAGTTTATTTACACAAATATTCACAATATAAGTTTTACATACTTTATTCAAAATTAGATAAAATCATATATATGTATAATGTTTTCTCAATCTTATATTTCAGAAGCAAACAAAAAATCTATAAACAAATCACAGTTTAATACCATTCGATTCTCATACTAATACTGTCAATTCACAGTTTAAAACAAAAAATTCAATTTTTATAATAGTCAATTTACAATATAAACAAAAAATTACAGCGTAATGCAGTCATTTCACAGTTTAAAAAAATAGTAACTTAATATAGGAGTTTCACAGCTTGACGCAGTCAATCTAATATTTAAAACACAAAAATAAGCAACTTAATACAAAAAATTCACAATTTTATATAAAAAAAGTATATGTATTCACAACCATATTATTAATTTAAACCTTTTAATACAGTCAATTCATAGTTTAATACATAAAATTTATAATTTAATACAATCAATTCGTAGTTTAATATAAAAAATTCACAACTTAGTATAGTCAATTTAGAGTTTAAACAGAAAATTCACATATCAATACATTCAATTCATAGTTTTAAACGCAAATATCACAGCTTAATATACAAAATTCACTAATTTACACAATAAATTCACAGCTTTATACAATAAATTAACAAGTTAATAAACAACAACTATGTATTCACACTTAAATTCACAGCTGAATAACATATCAAATTTCGTTGAGTCATTTAATCAAACACCTTGTATGCTTTTTTTTTTTTTTTTTTTTTTTTCAGCACTTCCTTTTGTAAATACCATCAATGTAAACATCATACATACACTAGATATAACCTGAAAATGCACAAAAACATAAGATCTGATGTCGATTTGATGGTGTTTTGATAAGAGATATGAGAGACAAAGATGGAGAAGAGTTAGAGAGGAGAAGGATGTGAAACATAATAGATATGGTACACATCCGACAAACATGTCGCCGACGATGGATCATGTGAGTACTCTTTTTCGGTGTGGACTCGTGTGGACACGTTTAAAAGAATTAAAATAAATAAAAAATCAAAAAATTGAGCATAGTACTATATTGGAGAGAAAAATGAAAACGGGAAAAAATAAATTAGATCATTAAAATTTGATCATGGAATCATGGATCATTTTTATAATCCATGATTCAATTTTAATGATAAAAAAAAATCCATTTTTTTCTCCAATATAGTATTATGCTTTAATTTTATGATTTGTATTTTTTTTATAATTTTTTAAGGTGTCCACATCGAAAAAGAAGTCATCAAGGGAACCGGAACATATATATATATATATATATATATATATATATATATATATATATATATATATATATATATATATATATATATAATTCAATTATGGGTTATTGATTTAATAAAGATGGGGACTCAAAATCATTTGGGAAAAGAAACATACCAATAAATTTGATTCGTGATACTTTTGCCACCCATTTCAATTTACAAAATATCTTTTCCACTATTTCCAATATATTCTAATTTCATTATTCTCTAAATCCTTTTGATATCCTTAAGCATCATGCACTCAAAAAGCCGAAAATGATACTTGTACACATTTTTGTAGTATTTTTTACACAGAAAACGTTTCTTTTCCTTTTCATGGAAAAGAATAAACGAAAAGAAGATAAACGCTTCTTTAATTGCATTAAAACGGATCAAGAAATAAAAACATGATTGATATAGCGCAAGTTGTAATTAACTTGTGCATGCATATGCGCATTATATTCGGATTCCAAATTCAAAGTCGTAATATTAATAAATTCTAGAATAACTTTAATACGGGTGAAATATATGTTCATCATTTATATGCCAATTGTTACTTTAGGTAGAACAATAATGCTATCTGCACTGCATCATTTATCTTGTGTTTTAAATGCATGTTTTGTGGTCTAAATTAGTAAATTCTATGGGTCCATTACTTTATTGTTTGAATAACATGCTTAGTTTTAAGAATTTTAAAGTCATTATTTTATTTGATTATCTCAGTTGTTCTTATATGAAGTTTTCTTTTCTTTTATTATATATCCGTACGTTTTAGCCATTTTTGGGTAGTGATCTTCATAGTTCCCGAATCTCCTATTCCGAATCAATATTTGTTTGAGTGAACGAGTTTAGGTGCGTAACACTAGTTTTGTAGATCAAACTATCGGTTAAATATGATATGCTTCCTTTGTTACTTTCTGTTATTGTTTGTTATTGACATTTTAGTACAATAAACTTATTCAATTTGTTTTAAAATGTCACTAATTTTTTAATTTTTTTTTTTTAACATCCATATTTCACTTGGTTCATGGGCTAGTAAAATGCGTGTCATGTAATAAATGACTGTGCTATGTCATTAAATGAAATGGCCACGTGTAGATCCTTAAATCTGAAAAGTTTTAAATTAGAGATACTATAACATGTTTCTTTACTTTTTTATAGGATAATATTATAGAAATGTACAAAAAACAAAACAAGAAAATATAAAAGGTTAATACATGCCTTTAACACACTGTTCTTAATACATATTCATCCGTTATTGCGTGTTTGTTTTCTAGGATACAACAGTTAGAACTATTCTTAGAGATCACTCAAACCTACATTAGGTATGGATTATATATTCATAGGAGCAAGAAAATAACAATAAAAGAGAAAGAATGAGAGTATTTTTGATTATCTCTAATGACACGTAGTTGTATTTATCCAGCAACCACCATTTTAATTCCATAATTAAACACCCAAATTGTACTGAAATGGTGTTTTAATAGTATCATTAATATGAGTTTAAATCTAAATAGTAATTAAAATGTTAGTTACAAGTTACAGAATGAAAAAAAAATATTTACAAAAAGATCCGTGAACTTTTCTACTCAACACACCCTAGTACAAAAGTTCAAGTCTTACAAAGCTTATAAGCCTTTGTATTTATATACTGAGTCTTTATCGGTTCACCACCTATGTGATGAACTAAAACTCATTAATGTTTTTTATTGCCTTTTTGTCACTCTCACTTTAATGATTAATTTTTCATTCATATTAAATCCGTTTTGGACGTGTGATATACCAAAATGAAGGTATCACAGAGAAGAACACAAGCATATAACCATTTATTCATTTTAATAAAGGTTTAGGGTTCGAATTTCGTGTTAGCAAAATTGGAAAATCCATTTTTACAAATTGGTTAAAACCAATTTTCCAATAATCTCACACATGAATGAAAATTTATCAAACATTTTTAAGCTACCTACACAAATCCAACAGTTGAATCATGCATATGATAGGTAGCTATTACACTTTAAACATTCCCTTAAGATTATATATATATATATATATATATATATATATATATATATATATATATATATATATATATATATATATTGCTAGAGGACTAGTAGACTCAATATCATTGAACTATTATGTCATTTGTATAAATAATCAATACATGTTTAACATGATTCTTCCTGACCTAGTTAGGTTCTCATTGATGTGTCTGTTATGGTCATTGACGCTTGCTTGTTTATGTAAGATATTTTATGAATAAATCCATACAATTTTCTTTGAACCGATGCCACTACTCTCTCATATAGGTGACTCTGTGATAATCATTTAAAGCTAATTTGTGATGATTTTCAATTTATCATCAACAACTATAAGCT